TTCCGAGACCAAATAGCAAGGTTCCATTCTCCATTTCCTCTGAAATGTTTAAAAACGGCATTGCTTTTATCAACCTCCGTTATATCACTTATTACTAGTTCCTGCGAGGAATAAGTCCAAGGCATTATTCCAAGTTCAATTACTTGTGTATCAAATGGATATTTATAGATATCTATATCTACACCAACTTCAAACGTTTTATACGGGTATGCTGAAATGTGTCCATTTCTCAAAAGTATAACGTTTTTTATTTCATCTGGTGTTAAAAACGTTAAGAGTCCTTCTTCATTTCCAATTATCAAATCAGGTAACCAAATAGATTTCGAATCAATGGATAACTTAGACGGCACATCATATTCCTCTGAATTATTCCATATCAAAAACTCATCAATCCATTGCAACTCTAGAATAAGAGTAGCACTGACTGTCTTTTGTTTTGTGTCTACATCATTCAGAGAAATCAGATACCAAGATAGATTCATGTCAACTGGTTTTTCAATGTCTTAAACAGGCAACATATATTTGCTGTATCCGTCAAATAATTGTTCCAGAAATTCTCCATTTCGTATTTTGTTTTTCGAAGAAAACGTCTCAGAAAATAACAAATACTGAATTACAATTATTTGAATAGTTAGCGTTTTCATGAAACTCCCCATTTTGTTTAATGAACATTTACTTTCTGCTGCTTTCCTTTCCGAACTAAATGGTATACGAACTACTTTTATAAATTACAATTTATGTATCACTTGATATTGTTTTATTTGAAGTAAATTAATAGGAAAATGTAAATGAGATAGTGTCTAAATATATTTGTTTAACATGAACACATATTTACAAATTAGACAATGCTTTTAACGTGTTATGTTTTTTAGGGTTAATGTTAAATAGATTTTTCTTCCATTTGATAAAAAAAAATGCGATATTAAGTGATTAGAGGATAATTATAACACGATTAAGCAGATGAGTACAACAAACAGTTATTAAACTGTATTCATCTAGAGCTAGAAACAGTATTATGTTTCCTTTACTGTTTTTTTTTCTTTATATGATAGACTCCTTGTATTTCGTCTTAAATCTTTACTTTTATGTAGTCAATATCATTCAGGTAATGTGATTTTAGAAGATATTGAAAATAAACTTTAATTTCTTTTGCCATTTTCATTGTTTTATATGAACAAATACTTACAATGCTTTTAACGTTTTATTTTTTTATATCAAGTTATAAGATATTTCATATATTTCTTCATTTGATATTAAAAGAATATAATTCTAAGTGATCTAAGAGTCATTACAACACAAGAAACTATATGTTAAAACAATATAATGTTTGCCTGATTTCCTCTCCGTACTCATTTACTCTTATCAGTGAATACTGGATGTTGTACCATTATTGAAAAACTCATTTACGATTAATTAGAAGAATGACACCTGGTATCATTTGCTGATCACAAAATGCTTTAAAAGAAACCTATCACAAGTTTTGATTTTAATTCTCAATTCATTATTCATTTCTTTTTATATGTTTTTGAACTATAATATTCATTACAAACAAGATAAAAAAGGAAATTGATTTTAGAACAATCTGAAATTTGTAATAGTAAATAGTAATAGTAAATCATCAGTATTTTTTGTGTTATTCAATTGAAACTAAGGATTCAATTAGTTATAAGATGGATTTAACAAAAAATCTTTTAAACAGTTACAAAGCTTGCTGGCAACAGATACTACACATTCAACCAGTGGAGACCAAGATCAGCCGTTTTTAAATTACTGCAAATTTTAAAATTAAATAGTTTTGTCCAGATTTATATATGGATTGTCCATTCAAAATGATTTAGCGTTGTTGGGGTGAAACAAAAGATGCAGTATAACATTAATAAAAACATCACCTTTATTTCTGCAGTTGCTGAACAATGCGAATATTTTTCGATCCAAAACATACATGTATACGATTACGATTTGGATATCTCAAAACGAATATCGCAGTGTGATAACAGTAAATCGGAGTTTTACAACACAATTTCCCAATGTTGCAAGGCTTGAACAGCATCAAACCGAGCCTGCGTCATTTTCAATTTTGACGTGTTGGGATTTCTTTAGGGATTCTGTTTTCCCCTATTTTATGCATCTATAGTCACTGTCTTTCATTTGCAAACATACCAATTGTCAAACATATGTTAGAAATAAAACTATTACAAACTTGTTATGAAACATATAATTCATAAATTGTGATAATTACATAGACATAGAATACTTTAATAATATCCTGTTAAAGTTTCGAAATAATCTACAAAAAATTTCCCGGCATTATTCAGGTTTTACATCACATGATCTCTTATCAAGCTCTGACGTAAATTATTCCAAAATTGCTGTTTCTTATGTTGACGCAGCTCACAAGACTTCCTCCGCTTCATTACTGCCTTTAAAGCTATTTCATGGTATGCATTTAAAGCATATCTATACGTTTACGATTGTAAAGCTTGTTTTCTTTTATCCTATCTCTTTTGACCTATTATCATTGGATAAAGTAAGCTGTTTTTTCCACATTATGGATAAATAAGCGCAAAAATTTAAATGTTTCTTCGCATATTATAGATAAATTAAACGCTAAACTATTCTGTTCTTATTCATATTATGGATAAATTTAGCACTAAACTTCACAGTATCTTCGTATAACGAATTTAGTGCTAAACTATTATTTGTTCGCATATTATGGATAAAGTTAATGCAAAAACTATACAATATTTTTGCAAAATATGGATAAATTCAGAGTTTAACTTTCTTTTTCTTTGCAAATTATGGATAAAAGCCATAAACGTCTTATTTCTTCGCATATTATGGATGAATTAAGTGCAAACACTATACAGTATCTTTGCATATTATGGACACATTTAATACAAACTACTCTTCTTTCGCATATATTCAATTGACATCAAATCACACTGTATTGAATTTAGTACTAGTCTGTAGAAAGTGAGTAGAAAATGCCACATGCGGATGTAAAAAGAACAGTGTGGTGTCTTTATTAATAAAGTTAATCCCTTATAAAGTCAATAACACGTTGTTGTATTTTATATTGTTTTCCAGATGCTTTCCTTATTTCTCAACGCATGGTTTTACATTACAGAACAGAACAAACCATAAAATAATTTTATTTACAGTTATACATATGTACATCGTCTTGTTAATAAAGATTTGATTAAAAATAGTCCCGTAGAAGGTTAAAACACACAAATACACCCAATTATATACAACTTTTTGAAATAAATAAACAATAATTTGAAAGAAAAACTTTATGCAAGAAAAAAACAACTAATTATGTTAAGAGTTTATGATTGTATTTGTCAATGATAAAGATTCAAGGATATATTTTGATAACTTAATTAAAACAGTTTTATTTCGCGTTGAATGTAGATCTATAACTTTAAAGCTACTGCATTCGTAGACTATGAAATCAAGGACATACAAAGGCTAAACAATTAATTATTTAGCCCTTTGAAAAGATTGATGAATTTGATGATATTTTGTTAATAGGCATTAATTTAAAATTAAAATTTTTATGTCCATTCTGAGTTTTTGTTTTAATTCACAGCATCAGCTATCAAGTGCTGTGCGGCAAGTGTAAAATGTTGCACCGTTAATCAGTTCAGTGTTGTCCTCTAATATCTTCCATCCATTCATTGATTGTGTTGAAAATTTAACACTGCTTGAAACCGGTGCTAGGGGACGTGAGAGATATTGCATCTTTCGTTATCCCTCAGGATCAGACTCAATCAAACCGAGTCTGCAATTTCCACATTTTTACTATTGGTATTATTGCTCACGAAGTTTTTCCCGTTTTCCAGATTTTTTCTTAGTACTTTCCTTTTTTCACATTTAATCAGCTTTTTTAGCCTTTTTGTCCAATAAATATATAAATATTCCGAAACATACAACATGAACAGGCTGTTACAAAAATGTTTTAATCTAGGTAAAAATAAAACCTACAAAGGAATGGAAAAAAATGCAATACCAATACTAAAATATAATCAAAGCACAGAAGGCGTTGAATTTGTTTTGGTCTCAGAATTTCGGAAATGTGAATGGTGTAAGATTATAAACCAATTTGTTTTTGTGTAGTGCCATCAATGCTATTTCCAGTGTTAAAACTGTAGTAAACTAGCTATAAGGCTAATTGCAACACTGATATGCAATTCAATGTTTATTTTGGTTAAACAATTAAATAAAAAGAACAAACAACAACATGAGTTGCATTAACTGGGATTTAAACCCCTGACCTCTCGCTTCTGAAACGGGCGTGTAACCCCTGGACCACGGGGAAGTTATAAGAAAACAGCCTGAAGCAAACCAAATTATTCTTCATTAGTGTTTGTGATCCTTATTAATTTCGAATTAAATTAAATTATTATCGATCGTCGACTGCATAAAGTCGTCCCTGTCCTAGAGTCACCATTCTTACTTTATTTTTCAGAAAGTCTAAATAATAAATGTTCATTTAGGGGATCACAATAATCCGAAGCTTTACGGAAATAGCCGAGCAATTTTTATTGATTAAAATAATATTCATCCGCGTAACAAAATTATTTGAATATATTTTCGGTCATTTGCGGAAATGTTAAAGAATTACACAATATTAGAAATATTCGACCAATTGGGAACTATTTTTTCTTTCCTGAAAAAGTTTTAAAATTAATGCGCCTGTCATTTGACAATCTTTACCCTTAATTTTTTTTCGGCGTTAGTGTACTTATAAAGTAACCGCTTCGAGGAATTCGTGACGGACTACTTGCGGATTTTTGCAATTAAGCATATCAGGGTCTGACATTTCGCTAACATTATTTGTTTGATCTGACGACCCAAACAAATAAAAATAGTTTGTATAAAGCAAATGCTTGTAGTTCATAAGGTCGATAATCAAATGGATTTTGTATTTATTGATGACACGCCGTTAAGATGTAGTCTGCTTTACCATTGAAAGAAGTTAGAAGACATAAGTCTAACTAAGACATTGCTATAATTATTGTAATGGATAAAAGACAAAGATTCCAGAGAAGAGACATCCAAAAACACACTCTATCAATAATTTTAGAACAGATTTTTCCTATTTCCCGACTATGTGTATGCTCAGAATCATACTCTTCCAGGTTTTCAGAATTAGAATCAGCGCATTTTTCGGTTTTATTTTTACCACACATACTACACAGGACACGAAGTAGTGCATTGTTTTGTCTAAGGTCATTGTCGCTATAATAACATGCCAGACTTATGATTGTAAATGCAATTGTCAGAACACTTCCGAACATTTGTAGACCGATATACGTGACAAATATCGGTGATCCTTCAGATGTTTGAGGTAATGAGTTGCTCACAATTGTGAAAAACACAGCCAGTGTCAGAAATACGGTATTGCTTAGTGATATGCGTTCTCCACTGTCAACAGGGAGCAAAAATGACAAAGGATTCAGTAACGATGTGATTACAACGGGCGCTACTAAATTTAAAATTGTATACAACCATCTTCGCTTTAAAGTAAATTTATAAATAACTGTTGAAACTGTTGTATAACTGTCAATTTCATTAGACAAATAAAAGTTTTCTCGAGACCAGGTAGCAAGATCCCATTCTCCATTTCCTCTGAATTGTTTAAAAACGGCATTGCTTTCATTAACCTCCGTTATATCCCTTATTGCTAGTTCATGCGAGTAGTAGCTCCAAGGCATAATTTCAAGTTCAATCACTTGTGTATCAAATGGATATTTATAGATATTTATATCAACACCAAGTTCAAACGTTTTATACGGGTATGCTGAAATATGTCCATCCCTTAAAAGTATAACGTTTTTGATATCATCTGGTGTTAAAAACGTTAAGAGTCCTTCGTTATTTCCAACGAACAAATCAGGTAACCAAATAGATTTCGAATCAATGGATATTCTAGACGGCACATCATATTCTCCAGAATTATTCCATATCAAATACTGATCAATCCATTGCAACTCTAGAATAAGAGTAGCACTGACTGTCTTTTGTTTTGTGTCTACATCATTCAGAGAAATATAATACAAAGAAAGATTCACGTCAACTGGTTTTTCAATGTCCAAAATAGGCAACATATATTTGCTGTATCCGTCAAATAATTGTTCCAGAAATTCTCCATTTCGGATTTTGTTTTTTGAGGAAGCCGATTTAAAAGATAAAAAATACTGAAGTACAATTATTTGAAGAGTTTTCATCAAACTCCCCATTTTGTTAAACAGCATTCTCCTCTCTCTACTACTTTTCTAAGCGAGCTAAATGGTATACAAACTATTTTTATAAATTGTCACTTGATATTGATTCATTTGAAGTAAATAAACAGGAAAATGTTAATGAGATGCTGGCTAAATATATTTGTTTAACATGAACAGATATTTACAAATAAGACAATGCTTTTAACGTGTTTTTAGGGCTCTGTTAATGGCCAAGACAAAGAGATCAAATAGATTTTTTCTTCCATTTGATTTAAAATAATGATATTTCTAGGTGTTTAATTGATTAATATAACACATTTGAGTAATCGAGTAGAACAAACATGTTTTTTACTGTTGTAATCATATACAGCCAGAGACGACATTATGGTTCCTTTAAACTTTATCAGCTAATCATTATTATTGCAAATTATTCAAGTGGATGATCGGTCTACGATGAATACATTTTTCAGGAATGTTTCAAAATTAATACTGATAAAAACAATACAAAATCATTTGCTTACTCTTATAAAATCATTGATAGAAAAAATTTTGATACAGTTTTAAATGCTTCATTCATTCATTCATTCATTCATTATCTAATATATCCATATATATATATATATATATGGGACTGGAAAAGCTATACGGTAATGACCACTACCGAAAACAATAGAAAATTTGTGGAAAAATAAATTAAGAACCTATAGACCGTATGGAGTTAATACAAAAGAATAACGCGGCAGACGGCAACCAATGCCACGGCGGGCGTCGTTCATTGACGTTACGTCACTTCCATTGTTTTGTTTGATATATTTGTATATGAAATAAATGCTGCTGAAGAAAACCGCAAGGCCGAAAGCTACGGCAAATTTAAATAGCGTTTTTGATATATATATATATATATATATGAAAGTTTGGATTATGTATCACATATTTGCCATCAACAGGCATATATTATTTTTTCTTGGTCTGCTGTTATGTCTGATACTAAATACTATAAACGCAATTATCTAATGTATAGCATACCTATTATATATAGACAAATACTAATTCACTTTAAAACGGATGATACAGATTATCATCTGGTTATTCAAAAGACAATTTCAAAACTTAAAACCGTGGCATATATTTGTTTTTGATTGTAACTATTCGACAACTGCTTTATTTTTTTTCTAAAACTCTTACTACTTCGATATCATTCTTAAACAAAATTAATGAGATTAAATTTATTGATACAGTTAATTACATCAAGAACATCGTTAAACAGGAATATAAATTGCTAAGTGAAATAAAGAATAACAGTTTTATGAAACTCTCCTTTATGCCATTGTTCAAGTAAATTCTTTATTTCCAGTCATTTCATGGCAGACATTTAATAATGAGTCAAATAGTAATACAAATACACAGTAAAACATGCAAATTGATACCACATATAAATAAGTACAATGCGGGAAAAGTTTTCCAGTCCGAGGATACGTATATTATAGAACAATTAAAATATCAACACCGCTGTTAATTAAGTTACAAGTTAAAAAAGACATATTTTTTTTCTTTCTAAAAACGCTAGGTTATGATTTCTTATAATCTGTTCAACAGATATACACTATTTTCTATATTCAATATGATTTTTAGTATTGGTATTTACATATGTCTATTTATATTGTAATTAAAATCTTACCTAATTATAAATCAATATTGTAAACAAGCCAGGACAATGCATCTTTTAAGTTTCATTCGTTAAGAGATCGACTATACATTGTATCTGATTGGGAATGAGCTAATGTTACAATATTAACATAATATAGATAAAAACATTTAACAAATGTTGTATGATAGCTGCAACAAAGACGTACTGTAATAATTTCATATTTATTGATCAGTATTAATCAAAGATATTTGTAGAGTCATTTCATTCCAATGCTTGATAAGAAACGAACTTTAGCAATCAGTTGTGCTCACTAAATACTAGCAGTATATTTTTGCGCAGTTTCAAAAATGATTAAATTTTTTTTTTACATAATTAGCTAACAACTCATATTGTCTATTTATCATGATAAAATTTTAAATTTAAAAGCATCACGGGATAGATCAAAATAGAAGATCACAGGTGAAGCCATTTGTCCCACAATACTAAATATTTCTGTTCATTTGAAATAATAAAAAGGACTATCACTGATTTCCTTTACTGGTGTCAACTCTTGTATAGAACTTTCATATCCAAAGTCGTATTCTATAATATGTTTTGCTCTTTGGACTTAACTAGTCGATTAAAAGAAAATGACATACTGCTATTTATGAACTTATTGCACTTTCTTTTCAGATGAATTTTAACTTTACTATATATTCGATCGACAAAAATCATGAGACAAGGGTTTATGCAAACCATTGTTGATCCCTATTGTTTTTGAAAGCAATATTCTTTGCCTTCAAAGCACTTGGAGGATCTTCCTATGCAAGTTAAGTTTTACATATATATACTGAACCAAAAAAGAAACTTTCGCAAAGTATGTGCCAGTTGTTCAAAGGTACCACTTAGATGTACACACACATATATACAATTAGTAGTTTGTAAAACTCGTTTTGTTTGCAAAATCGCCCAGCTAATCACGTATAAAAGCCCGATATGTTTATTCAACGTAAAAATCGAGTTTCAAAAGGATTGAAAAACTGTACTAACATATCTACATTCAAACTTGGAGAAAGTTTCTTTTTTGTTTCAGTATATTTGTGTGAAATCTTACAATATTAATATTTCGTTAAGAATGTTGGTGTTGCGAGAAGTATGACCAAATGTAAGCATTGTACAGTAATATAAGAAAAAAAACATGGACGATATGTACAAAATGAACCTATATATACATTAACTTGGCCCGTTGTGGATTCGAATCCCGACATGAACTTTGGATTTTGTTTATGTGAGGAAGCTACGGAGCGTCGATGGTTTTACTTAGGTGCCAATTCGTGCCTGAAATAATGCAGTGTTGGTGCAACGCACCCCCACCCCATACACAAAAATAAAATACAATAAAATAAAATAAATTATGATAAATAAATAGAATAGAATTAAAAACATCATGTATTTTAGTTTATAATTTTTATTCTAAATGTAGTAACATCGCCACAACATCAGGACAAATTATCATAAAAAGTAATGTCAATGCAAATGACATTTTCTTTTTCAGAATGATAACACATCGTGTTTTTTGTCATAATTCAAATTCAAATTGCACAATAATTGTTGCAGAAATTTAAAAAGAAATGATTTACGAACATCATTATTCTCCAGTGACTTTCATCATAACTAGTGTTAAAAGTACCACATTCCAAGAAAGTGAAAGCCAAAAACAAGCTGTGTCCAACATATTTGAAGCTTTCATCCAAGATTCCCTTTGGACGTTGTTTTGAATATTCGTCTCACTAACTGGATCAGTTGAACCATTTTCATCGTTGATTTCTTTTTTGTGTTTTCTTATTTTTCCACAAATGAACTTGAATACTGACGGGTTGTTTTGGTTTCTATAATACAGGGCAAGACTGAAAATTGTAAACACAATAGTGAGAGAACTTCCAAGCATTTGTAGACCGATATATGCAACAATAATTGGAACTCCTTCAGATGTCTTTGGAAGAGAATGATTCACTATCGAGAAAAATACAGCCATTGTCAGAAATACAGTATTACTTAGTGATATTCGTTCCCCACTGTCAACAGGGAGCAAAAATGACAAAGGATTCAGTAACGATGTTATGACAACGGGTGTTACCAAATTCAAAATTGTATATTGCCATTTGCGCTTCAATGAGAATTTATACTGAATTAGAGTAAAATTGGTCAAATATTCATCAAATGACTTAATTGTTCTTTTCCTTTCTATCTGTATAATGTCCCATTCCCCACTTTGCCTGGATAATTCCGAAGCTTTTAATTCTTCAGCACCCTGCCTAACTGATATGTCTATTTTGCGGTCACTATGCATCCATGAACTAAACTCAAATTCACATATTTGTTCGTCAAAGGGATATTTGTAAATGTCCAAATCTATTCCGACTTCAATATGTAGATACAGCCAAGCTTCCACTACACCATTGCTTGTCAAAATTACTTCTTGCACGTTCTCTGCTTTTAAAAACGTAAACAAATCCTCTGAATTGCCAATATACAAATCAGGTAACCAAATTTGGTTTGGTTGTAATGAAAGCTTTGAAATGTCCTTGAAATCAGAGGAGTTCCACTTTAAATATTCATCAGTCCATTCTAAACCAAATATAATGCGACCACTGATAATCTTGCTTTTCATTTCTATATTGTCTATAGATAAATGGTATAAAGCTAAGTCTATCAAAACTGGTCTTTCGAAATTCAAAACTGGAGGGATATTTACGCTGTATCCTTCAAATAATTTCTCCATAAACTCCGCATTGCTCATATCCTTTAAAGACGTAGAATTTTTAACACAAACACATCTGTGGATTAAAATCCCATGTAGTAAAAATATATGTACAATTATAGACATGCTGTTTTACTTTGTATAAACCTTGCAAAAAAAACAACCTGTAAGACTGTGTAGTTTCCCTAAATAAAAAATGCAATAACCAAACTGTTCTATCCACGTCTATTCACATCTATGGTCATGCCGACGAGATGTCTGTTTAATATTGTTAAGTAACTCATACAATATCAATCTATGAAGCATTTACTAATGACTAATTGACTCAAAATGCTGGTGATCAATTCTGTAAACAATAACTCCAATTCATATACATAGTGAGTGACTTTATTTGCATATGTCTATATGTTGCAAGTTATCGTGCCGATGAGAATTGAAAGTAATCTAACGTCATGTCAACGTATAAAATAGTGTCACATAGTTTATCGATTGCCTTTCATTAGCCTGAAACAATGTTCATTTAATAATTAATCTATTATGTTTAGTTTCAGAAAAAAAAAACACAGAAAGAATCCCTAAAAACGTCAAAAATGAAAAAAATGAAAATGTTCAAGGCTCGGCCGGTTTGAGCCTGTTGGTAATTACAAGCTTTTTTTGTCTGCCAACTAAAAGTCTTAAATGATATATATTTATATATTATATATAATACCTTTAATCATCAATTTAATGCTTTGCAAATTTAATAAAAGAGTTCGACAGAATTTCCAAGATTTGTATATCGTTATAAATGTATTCAGGACTTTGTTTCGGAATAACCCAAAATATGAATGGTATACTCAATTTATCACTCCTACTTAAAATATAAATTTATTTGCCATATTTTGCCATTTTGAACTTATTGCGGAAATGTCTTGTGCATGTGGCATGGCAATGCATTATGTTGCGTACAAAAAGGTATAACGATCCGTCATTATATATATTTTTTTGTATTACCTTAAGCAACTGTTTTACTATTATGAATACATGCTGGTTGCATTGTATATAAAATGTCAGTAAAAAGTATTTTGCTAAATACAGAAAAAATGGAAAAAAATACTCTTGAAAAACCGCTGATGTATCGATCAATGCCGATAACGGCAATTTAGATTGAAACATCACCATTTGAAAGAATGCGTCCCCATATTTAATCTTCCTTTACGATTGTTTTTTATAAAACTTTTCTACATCATGCATTATATATTCTTTATTAAATAGTCTTTCTTTGAGTCCTATTATTCTGTGCCCGATATATATTTGGAGTGTTGCCTTTAAGTAACGTGTAACTACATTCCAGCAAACCTAAAAGCCACATGTCTATCTTCTATTGTTCTAGTGCCAAATGTCAATTAAAGATAATGATATTCTTTTCATTAATAATAAATTTTCATTTTCGACTTTAGTCGATGAATTATCGAGAACGCGGATTGTATAAAGTAATTATGATACTAAATTTTGTATCCGAAATATGCATACAAAAATGATAAAAATTCGAACTATATCTTCAGCATTGGAAAGAAGAACAACCAGTTGTCATTTTCTACCTCAATAATTTACTGATATTAATTCATTCGACGATGCATTCAGATATAATGGGATGTAAATTGATGTAACTCGAGAATTTTTTTATCTTCTTTTAGTTATTTTTGCATGTAGTATTGCTTGTAATTTATTTTCGCTGATTTTAGAATGTAATCATGTACTTAGTCATGTCCTGTTATTCATATTCTTACTTGGTTATCTCTATTACAATCATGTACTTGGTCATGTCCTATATATTCATGTTATCACTTGTCTCGTCCTATACAAAAATACAGTTGGTTACGTCATGTACATCCAAATACAGCCATTAATTTTGCCCAAACCAATCTAAGTTATTTTTTTAACAATCATGTATACTTACGTAAAATCATTGTTGTCCTATGCAGTTGAATATATTATACTATGTTTCAGATGTAGATTTAAAGTGAATTTAAATATTATATTATGTAGAAGTGAATTTAAAATGTATTATCATATTACTAGATACAAAGTCCCTTATAATTCTGTAAAGAGTGACAATGTACATTTTTGAAAGGTCTAATATGATTTTATCTATGATATATTGTATAGATTGTACCACAATTATGAGACTATGATAAATAATAATATTATAAAAAAAAGTAATATCAGGAAAATGTAGCAATAATTCGACCTCTTGCTTTCTAACACTATCCGAAACATAGCGAGTAAAAATAAGCGTTATTATACGTACATTAGTGCAATAGTTAATGTAGATCAAAGTCACTGACAAAGTGTACGACATTTTCTGTTATCTAGCTATTTAAAAAAATGTCTTGGAATTTAAAAATCATTAAAAACACATTACATAATTTCTTAGTATTACACAAGTAGAATCCAATCTTAAATAGATTTATTGTGATACTATACTGGTATATTAAAATATCATCGTCTAATAACACCATGCAATTTTAAAAAATTCACAAAAAATTTAAATATCGAATCAAGATCAGAATCAAATTCAAAAAGTCAAATATTCACCATTGTTAATCATCATAGATTAAATATATAATAATAATTTGATAAAATTGGATTAAAATGCAAAAAGTCAAATATTCTCCATTGTTTATCATCATAGATTAAATATCTAATAATAATTTGATAAAATTGGATTAAAATGGCGTGTTTGTGAAATTTTAGAATAAATTTATTGTTATTTTGCAAGATATGGGAATTTAATGTTGAGCTGAGTATTGATCTTGATCCTAAAACTGATCCTTATTTTGATCTGATTATTTCTAATTCTGTTTTATTATTCCTTGATTTTATCCAAAAATTAGGTATCAGCATTTTTACATTTTGAATAAGTACCATCTAATTTTAGCAAAATACGATCAATTTTAGTTCTATAAAACAATAAAATAAAATAAGGATCACTTGATCCTGATCCGATCTTTTCGTAGTGAATACGGGGCCATGATCTTAATAAGTTACACTTCACTCTCTCCTATTTATAAATTTCAGGATTTGGCAGTAAGTTTATCAATTGCAGAATTGGAGAGCACACTCATTTATAATCATGGACTTCAATGCATTATAATGCAAGAGTGATTAATTAACCAAACGCGAACGGATTACATATTACGTGCCTCTCTACACCTTGAAGTCTACCAGAATCACTTAGATTTGTTGCAAGGGAAATAATCAGGAATTGACTGTCATATTTTACGTATATCGTTGTCTTCCGATGGCGCTATTCTTTACACAGTATGATACAGTGATGACAGAAATGTAAAATTTACCGGGTTATAAACTTGGTTGGTGTATTTATATTACGCAGATAAGCTTAACTTCATTGCTATAGACTTTCTGTACATTAACCTTTTTTTTTTGGACTTTCATAAAATATTTTGTGCGGCTTTGGAAGAATCCGTGAAAACGGCTGTTTTCTATTCAAAATATCTCAAGTTTGAATCAAATAGACGGATTTAGTGATATACACATAAACAATCATCACTTTAAGTCCATGTATGCATGGAAAATATCAACCCAGTGTATATTTTCTTGGGAATGTTACAGGCGTCCATACTAGTCCGGTTGAAGCGATAAAAGTCTATGTAGGCAGAACATGTATTTTGTAAAGATGACAACTATATAAAAATCTGCACCTTTACCTTGCTGGAACCTAAATAATTAACCAGTTTAAAACCAAGTCAAGCTGAACACATATGCAATCTTTTCAGGCTCTATATTGTTGTCTTACTAACATTTTAAATTTCCATCATGATATTGCAATATCAATGATATCGTTTCAAGAAAAATCAAAGCACAGAAGGCGCTGAATTTGTTTGGGTCTCAGAATGTAAGAAAGGTGCAGGTTGTGAGATTATATGTTTAGTGCCACCAATGCTTTCCAGGGTTTTAATTGTATTAAATTGGCTATAAGACTAATTGCAACACTGATATTCAATCCAATGTTTATTTGACTTTAACAATTTAAAAAAATGAGTTACCTTTACTGGGATTTGAACTCCAGACCTATTGCTTCCTAAGCGAGCCCGAAAACCCTTCAGCCACGGTTAAATTTATATTTATATTTTATATATATTAAATTAGGGCTTGTAACGACTTTTAACTGTTGTTTAACACAGATGTAAATAATCCTGAAGCTTACTATAAGCATGTATATTTATAAAGAATCAAAGGGCTTCAAGTTCTTTGGTATTTTCTGATCTTTGCAATCTAAATCGTACTGTATATCTGTATGCATTTTCCTGTATAAGTTTATTTTTATGTACTATAATTCATTTTGTAAGGCACATACGGAATTCTGCATAACTGGAGTTGCATCAAAAAATCATTTATGTACTTTTTTTACGACAGCCACACTTAATCCTTGTAAATCATGGCTACTTCCTTAACAAAAACAATTAAAAAAAGAATTTAACAAAAAAAAAAATTTCCTCGACTGGGATTCGAACTCGAGACCTCTCACTCACTAAGCGAGCGCGTTACCACTGTACCACGGAGAAGCTTTACACAGAATATCTGAATAATATCAAGTGATTCTAAATTTAGAACTTCCATTGCATTCAGGTTTGTAATCCTTATTAATTTCGAGGTATTTTGTTCAGGGTAAACCTGTTGTTTAAAATTGAAGTAAATATTTTAGCGAAAATCATCTCGCCCAAACAGTCCGACATGTAGCACTACTCGGTTTGTGTAGTATTCGGTAATCTACATGGCTAAAAATAGTATTTTCATTGATAAAATCATATTCATCCGCGTAATTTGTGATTGTGCATTTATTGACAATTCTATAAGCCAACGCTATTGTTTAACTTTAAATGCGTTGTAATTTGTTGGATACTTGTAACAAAATAAAATATTTCTTTCTTTTAAATCGCTAGTTTTAAGCTGTTTTGAGAACTACTTGTTGTTAGGTTTGTCATAAACTTCTGTGTCAGAGATTGAATGTCCGCTTTGTATTTAGTTATTTTCGATCAGAAAATACCAGAAAACAATATTAGAAATCTTCGACCATTCGGGAATTACTTTGCTTGAAAATCGATGCGCCTGTCTTTGACCATCTTTACGCAGTGATCTCCCCTGAATTTTTCGGCTTAAGTGTACATACAAAAGGGAAGTAACCGCTTCAAAAAAGTGGACTACTTTCGGCATTTGCAATTAAGAACATTAGACTCTGAAATTCCGCTACCATTATTTGTTTGCTCTGACGACCCAAACAAATAAAAATGGCGTCCATTTTATTTCATTTTATTTAGAAAATAGACCACCATTTAATACTGTTAAAAAATACTGTTACCTATGTAACAGTACAAAAGTCTTAGTCACGTGGTACACTTGCGTAAACAGTAAAAATAACTACCAGAGGGGAAATTAACATTACGAAAAAAGTGAGGGGTAATAATATCAAATGTTTGGTATTGCTCACGACAACGGTGGAAATATAGCTTAGGGACAAGGCTTAAAACAAAAGTTTACTTACTAAAGTTTAGTGTTTTCTTCCTATAAATATTCTGAGAGTCAAATTCGCCATACTGTCAGCAGCCATTTTTAGCTTAATATTTGCAGTATATCAAATGAATGCTTTACCTTGTAATAAACTTAAAATTTTTATGTTAACAAACTACAGTTATATCTCCTTCTTTATCTCCATTCGGAATATACTTCAGAAAAATGTGTAGTCCTTTTTGTAAAGAAGTGTTTGTAAAATTGTTTGTTCATTTTACATAGGAACTTGAATTAAAAATGACTTTAAGTTTACACTATCATGTACCTGTAACAAAAAGAAACAAAATCCAGGTTTTAAGGTAAAACAGTAAGGTTTGAGATTGTTAATTAATGTTTGTTCCAAACAGTTGTACGCTCGTATTTTTATTAAAATAGTATTTGTTTCTCCCAAGCTAATATATAGATCAGTAACATATCTTCAATTGTTTTTTTAACTGAGATGTACTGTACTTGGTTAATTAATCATATGAAATATGTGATGTACGAATGTCAAACAGGGTTTACCATTTCCTTACAGGCATAGTAATTGATTTCAGGCGTGATTTATCATCTGAATATCTGTATACACTCATGTTTTTAATAAATTTTGCTATGTAAAAGCTATATGTAAAATGGATTTTACGAAAATTGCTCGTCGAATAGAAGAAAACACAGTGGAGTTAGAGGTTCTTAAATAAAAACTTTTTTTTTCAATTTAGGCCAGCAGACAGGCAGGAAAAACGTAAGCAATAAGATTAGTTTTTTATTTTCCACATTGTGTTCGTAAAATACATTATTTCGTAACATTAATCAAATCAGCGTCTACATATTCTTGAGTGTAAGCATAAAATGCTATTTGTGCTATTGATGCATGGAATACCCTTAAACAATACATTGAATTAGGTGACAAAACCCTGATGTCAATTCATTTCATATAAAAAACAACAAAACAATACAGGACAATTTTGAATTTTTATTTCATTCACATATTTCAAATTTACAAGTTTGATAAAATAATCTTATATTGAAATATATACGTATATAATTTAAAAATACACATGTAATATATTTGAACTTTTGCAATAAACCTAGTCTCACTCACGAAACACAACAAATTTATGGCATCATATATAAAATGATTGAAATCTATGGCATTCTGATTGGTGTAAAAGTGACAACGTCAAAAAATGAATTAAAAGGAATATTGTTCTATAGAGGAAGACATTATGCCCAAATTTTGCCAAAAGTTCAAAGATGTGTAAATAATATTATAATGCTCGACATACATTTTAATGAAATCATTAATGTTTCAAAAATAAGCTGACAGTAAAAGTCATGTTTGAAGAATCGCCTGCTTTGAACCAGGAACAAAACATGGTAGTTTTAGGGATTTAGATGAGGTGATAAAAAAGTTTGGCAAGTGATCAATTGTTAAGTGTATGGTCAAACTGCGAAGAGGTGCAGACTAATTTGACACTCATTTATTGGCATATCTATGCCTTTCAAAGCATATGCTAAGATCTTGAGAAAGCATTATCTACAACAAAATAACATGAAAAATGCAAACTCGGTTTGATTGAGTCTGTACATAGGTATAATAAAAAAGTGCAACATCTTTCACGCCCCCTAGCACTGCTTGAGTGGTTCTTAATTTTCAACATTTAAAAGTGATGGATCAATTATCCTAAAGGAGAAAAAACAACAACATTGAAGTGAAGTACGGGGCAACTTTTTACAGCTGCCACATGGCAGTAACGGGAAGAAATATTGATCAATATTACCTGGTTTATTTTGCATATAACAGATTTGAAATTAAAACGATCATGTTGAATCAATTTTTAATTAAACTGACTTGTATATTTCTAAATATAACTGCCAACTCCTATGCTTAAATAATCTGAAATATCGACAAAGACTCAGTGATGTTACTTGCAATACTGCCATACGCAAATATTTTATATTTGCCTAGATATTGGAGTCCGTACGTATACAGTCCGTATACCTAACTCACTCCTGAATAAGGAAGTCCGACAGTTTTTATCTTTAAAAAAAGTCGTATATTTCAGTGACTGTATAATGGTTACTCACATATCTATATACGCCACCACCGATTTTTAGAATTGTACGTAAAATCACATAACTTTATTCTGAGCCAATCATAGCTTTGCTTCTTTTTGTGAACAACATCTTTTGACATACAACAAAAAACAAATACAAACCCAAAACAAAACAAGATATAAAATATATTCCAACGGTTTGAAATGAACATAATTTGTTATTTAAAATCAACTATGTTTCTGTAAGGTACACTATCTTATTATAACCCCACCCCAATTGATACAATGAAATAAAAGGAATATGCTAATAGGAAAGATAAAAATATTTCAAACAAAACCATTTTAAATCTCAACTAGGACACAATAAGGGTTAAATGTTCACATAATTTAAACTAAAAGACAGTTTACATCATTTATTTGTTAAATATATATAAAACCAATATACGACTTTTATCGTTATGTACTATATGCTCGTTAAATGTTGTTGCTATACCACTATATAAAATGTTGTGAATAATAATGATGATATAAAAAAAAATAATAATAATTTTTAATAATAATAATAATAATAATAATAATAATAATAATAATAATAATAATAATAATAAAAATAATAGTAATAATAATAATAATGATGATAATAATAATAATAATAATAAATAGCTATAAAAATGTGACAGAATCTCACTAAGCCATGGTTTTGGTACATATGGTTCTTACTAATTTCTGCACAATATACACAATCTAAATACCAAGCCTATAAAGAACTTTCTAAATAAATTTTATAAATATTAAACATGATTTACATTTCACAGGTTTTAAGAAAGTCTAGCTAAATATTCAAAATATAAATACAAATAGCGTATTATAAATACGTACACAATTGATAATATAAGTAATATATGTAAAGGAAAACTTGAGCAGTTTTTACATTTCATTTCTTATAACTATAAGCATTCAGCTTCATTCATATCCACCCTCAAATAAAACGTTGAATTGGCATGTTAAACATTTGGCATGTTAATTTTAGAATAATCTGTTTAAATGTTGATAATCGATATAAAACAGACATTTGATTGGAAACTGAACATATATGAAACGATGCATACTTAAAACGTCTACTTATCAAAGTCATTTGAAAAGTCTGTTAAGATATCCAGATATATGTGGACATACATATTACCGAAGAAAAGAAAGGCCTGTTAACACCCAAAAAATGAGACTATTTTTTTTACATGTCATTTTTTGTAATGCTTGGTGTCCCTTCCAATTTCAAAAATATTAAATCATTGGCTAATAAATATTAACCATCTTTTGAATGTTTTTTTCTAATTGTTTGCAAATTGTACAAAATAGTGACTTAATATTATATGTTAGAAATCAAAATATTACTCTGTTTACAACAACAAAATATTTCACTTTCAGTGTGTAAAGCATTTTATACGCTCTTAACATATTATTAAAACAGTCCTCAACAGTGTTTGCCCTTTCTTATTTAACAGAAGAAAAATATATTCATATTTACGGTTCAATGTCCCTTAATCAGTGCTGCAAAAAAAAAAAATATTATCAAATTTAGAACACTTTTTTCTTATAAATATTAAACAAAGTTGTAGATTTAAAAGCAAGAAATAAATATTTTTGTTCATTTAATAATAGCAAAATCGAGAAAAAATTATATGTTATTGTAAATAGAAAAATAATAATCAAAATATCCTAGATTTTTATAAGAAGTACACACTGTGATGAAGTACACACTGTAGTTTTGATAAGAAGATGACTTCAAAGTCTAAAATATTACAATACGAAATTTTGAACAAAGTAACTCAAATCAGTATTTTAATACGAAACAATATAAAACTTTTGACAATTTTAATGCGAAAAATAAAAAATACGCATATTTCGACCAGGAAGAAATTTCATTTCAAATTCATATTCGAAAAGGAAAAAGAAAACCCATGTACACTGAATGTTAAAGTATTTAAAAAAACCAATATATATTTGTAAAGTTTGGAATTTGTTTTTACAAGACTGTAAACGCTGCAAATGTTACTTTTCTCCACCACTTCTTGTCATGTCCTTGTAAATTTTGTCTACCTAGTCTATATCCTGGAAAAAGTGAGCTGGATGCATCAGATTTCCTTCCACCCTGTGTATGAAATGCCGGATTTTCTACATCATAATCTTGTCCATAATAATCTCCATCATCCAGAGATACCGTTCTGGCTTGCTTATCATAATGATGATGGTGATGATGGTGATGATGATGGGGACCTTTACCTTGACCTTGAACTTGATTTAGAGGTATAAGTTGCTGCGGAGAACAGTGTTTATCTGCCGCATTGCTAGAGCGTCGGCTACCGTTCTCTTTTGTCCGGAAGGCTATCGCTAGCTCAATGATTCCACAAAGTCCAGAGCACGCAGCTCCTATTCCCGCGATGAATAATGTATACGGAATTGCTGGCCTTGGCTTGCCCAAGGCGTAATACTTCTTGCCGAAGTCTATGATAACCAGACCGAGTAAAATACCTGAAATCAGTTTAATATAAGATACAATCCATGTGATTAAAACATATAAATAGTTAACATAGATACATAAATATCTAAACAGAGAAATAACTGTTTTTAGATTACTCTTCTTACCATGAAACTAAACTCCTGTATTTTATTAGGGAAATATCATTTTTATTTATTAAAATATCACAAATTATAAAATAATTAAACATGGGTTTTAACAAATATTATTAAAAATATCTTCTTCAATAAACACATTGGAATGTGTTAAATGGTTTTGCTGTTGACACAAAAAAGTGAACTTTGCTTTGATTCTACGCTTGAAAATAAATCACCAAATATATCTATTCTCAATAGTCCAGTCAATAATCTAGTCAATGATCTAGCAGGAATAAGTCTTCATAATACATTCAGGTCAAATGGCGAATTTCCAGAATTAATACTAGACAAGATTTCCGAGACGGTAGCTGTCCAGTCAATTACTAGAAACAAGCAACAGTAATTGGATTGAGTAGCCAAGAGTTCTTGCCTGACATTAACAATCACTGGTATCGTATGCCATTGACCTCGATATCTTTTCTATGTAAAAATCGTTCATTTAACACTGAACCTGCAAAAATTATTTAGTGAATGTTTCCTGGTTTGAGTTTTAAACAGTCCGTTTAAATTTTACGGGACTTTATTGTCAAACAAAATACCGAAGCTAGGCTACAAACAAAAACAAGTTTGGCGAGACGACACTCTTGTTTTTTTTTGCCAATTAAAAGTATAAAAGGAAGATAAGATCGCAACACCCCTTCCGTAAAAATGGAGGAAAAACAATTGACTAAAGCTTAAAGTTTATTTTTTACATCATGACTTTTTCATAATATGTTTTTATTATTTATGAAGCAGTGTTCTGGATTCCTACGTGTAACCATTAACACACTTTATGTAAGCTTTTGTGTAATAAAATATAAACTAACAATACTTATTATATAATAGATTTGCGTGTTAGCTATCAAAAAAAATTTCATCTTTTTTATCCTTGTTCTTCTAAATTTGTGTAAAGGAGTTGCCCTCCCTTGGATATCAAACTGAAAGACTTTCAGAGTGTGTGGGTCTTTAATAAAATTCAGCCACCTACATGGACGAATTTACTGACAACGAAATACTACATGGATGACTTATAAAGTCTTTCATTGTACCTAGCTTAAAAAAAAGACACTAAAAAAAAAGAAACAAAAAAACAAATTCAATTTTTTTATATATTTTTAAGCAAAAAGTCAATCGGGTATGAATTTTATAAATATTGCCAGATTTTATTAAAATAAGCGATAATAATTATTTAAAAAGTCATATAATGTGAATTATGTTAGAGTCGAATATTCTAAGATATGCTCTGTAAGCCCAAGTTGTGAATATACACATCAAATAAATATATTTCTACAGTTATACAGTACAAACATAATTAGAAACAATATTATCATCAAACCTTGTATCAACTTTATTCCAAACGCGCCTGTCAAATTTTAGGATTTATTACATTTGTAAGCTAATTTGTTAGCTTATTAACTATTTGATGCTAAATTCCCTTCTATTTTTTTTCAATATTATTGCATAGTAATAATATCACTCCACATCTTAACAAATAAAAAAATCGTAAAGACGATCATACTTTACCTGAAAATAATTGAAATATTGCTGAAAATCCCCCGCTGTAAATAAACTTTGCCCTTACATTACACGTGCCTCTTGGTTCGTCAACAAATATGCTCGGTTGACCTGGCGTTTGCTGATGGAATGTTTTAAATTGAAAAATGATAAGCATGAAAGCTCCAGCTGCCAAAATCAGACATGCTGTTACTTGAACTTGAGTACCAACCACTGACGTGAACATTGCGCCTGAAAATATACAAAACAAGTCCTCTGATAAATTGTGAAATAATCTTAATATAAAGTAGCGAAAATTTGAATTCCTAAAGAAAACACAAAACGGCAACATCAAAATGTTGCATGCTCAGTTTGATTGATTTATAAAACTGACTGCGCAAGCTGTTAAAAACAATCTGGAAAAAAATGTGATCGCTCGGAAGCATTTATTACAACAAAATAACATGAAATTGCAACTCGGTTTGATTGAGTCTTTACATGAAGGATACTCAATTATCAACGCTAAAGCGTAAAACCGAGTTTACACTATTATAGCAAGCAAAACGCCAGTCTAAAGCTGGTTAATAAAATATGCATAGAACATGACGGTAAGCAAGTGATAGAAAAGAAATATGTGAATGCAAACTGTAAATAGAAAATCAAAAATGTTAATTATAAAGTACTTGAAACACAAAGGTATACGCTTCAAGTTTTACATGTTAACTTTATAATTTAAATAACAGAAATGAACAAAGTTAACTTTGATTCAATAAAATAAAAAAAAAAAATAAAGATGAGGAAACCTGGCGTTAACATAAGGTAGCTGATGCGATGGTAAATTCTAATTTACAATAGATTATAATATTAGAATGAAAATGTCTATGCTTACAAAAACTATCAAATCAAGAAATGTAATCTTTTAAAAGGAAGGATACTATTTACAAAAAAGCCTGGTGTTTGTTCTATCATTTGTGAAAATAATTAATTGACTTTTATTGATATGGTAGGATATTGTTCGCTCAATACATTTGAATGACTATTCTAAAGGGACTCCACTGAGTGTTTTTCTATATGATGGGATTGCAAATAATTTTTCAAGATAAATATACCTATAAATGAAGGTCTATTCCATAAACTTGTGTGCACAATTTCAGATCACTCGCTCACTTCGTTTTTCCAGTAATTTTGAAATATTGACTCACAATTTAAAAGCGTTGCAACATTGCAATAAAAATGTGAAAAAATCTCTAATTTATTAACAAATATGGCACCTGATATTTTCAAAGGCTAATAAAGTAGTAAAAACTAGACGGTAAAAGTAGTTTATATTTGACAAGCTCAGCCAATAAAATTTAAAAAAAATAGGCAAACTTGGAAAACAGTCTCTCATTTTGATATATTTTAGGGATATTTTGAATAAGGTCCGCCAAGTAGGACAATGGTCAAACAACTATTTAAAATGGGTAGGGTAGGATAACATTTTCATACATATTTATAACAATTAGAGTAGAAACAATAGTTTTGCTTGTGCCATTTGTTAGCTGAATGCTATTTTTTGTTTCTTAACAATGTTCAACAGGAAAACAATTTTTATAATGTTTATATTATAGATTATTTAGTTTCTCATTTCTGAAAAAGAGCCCTTGTGATAGCCAAGTTTAAGTTAAGGAAAATCTCTAGAATTCGTAAACCATACGGTTAACTTTGTTTAAATTTGGCATACATGTGTCTTTTAAGGTACTTAACTGACCTATGTTGTCAATTTTATAGTTTCTTATAGTGCCTGTTAGGGGGCTTATACCTTAAGTGTTTTAATTGTTACAACAAATAATATAATTTCATATGCTGATAAAAGTTGGAAAAGACCATCAATGATAAAATCTCTATTGTAAATCATATATTTTATTTACATTATGACCTCATGACCTTAAATTGAAATTATTATTATTATTGTAACTTTGATAACTATAAAAACGATAAAATATAAAACTTTAATATTAGACATTTCTTGATAAATTTCACTTATTTGATAAAGGCCATCAGGCAAAAAATTAATACAAATGTACGAGTAATAAAAAGTTGTTATCTAATCGTAGATAAGATAACATAAGTGCTTTATTAAAGTAAATACTTAAAATATTAGATACATGATATTATTTTCTAAATTATTTATGCTATCTAGTTCTGAGTAATTATCTAGAACCAAATTATTTTCATCTCACTGTTAGATGATAACTTAGTTGCTCCCAGAAAATAACAAAAAAAAATAAAACAAAAAAAAACCAGAAAGACATAAAAATGTCTTCGCTCTTCGCAATTTACTGAACTGTATTCATACGTTATTTTGAGCATACAACAAACTACAAATCCTTTTTGTTATTCACTTATTAAGACAAATGTAAATGCAACATCTGTTTGTGTATTCATTAGTTAGCAACGTGCAGCAGACGTGCTGCAGACTCGCTAATTAAATCACAGAGATACAGTTTGATAGACATAATTCAGTTTTGCTTTGTCTGCACATGCATACAGATATATGACATCGAGGACAAACTCAATTATTTGAATAATGCAAAAGCGAAAAAGCAAAGACAATAAAAAATGTTGCCATGGAAACAATGATAAATACACCTAAAGATAGACTACATGTTAACCACATGAATAAAAAGGCGTCAATTCAGGACTGAAAATTGATTTTGTATAAATCTTTGATGAATTTAAATGATACTAACTTATTATACATTTACTTAAATTATACATGTATATGATTTTGTTTGTTTGTTTGTTTCATTTTACGCCTTTGAAACAAACAAACAAACAAACAAAATCATATACATGTATAATTTACGGGAATATGAAAAGTTGTAATAATATATAAACATATGCTAAAACCGGAACTTAACTAAACGAAGGTTTAAAACATTAAGCAATATGTTTTTGTTTCACACCAGGAATAAATGATAGTAAATAAAGCTAAAAAAGTTGTGTAATATGAAACTTTTTGCCATTACAATAATTGTTTCCCAAGTGGTTTGATATGCATATGCTACAGTTATTATTCAATCTTATAAATCTTATTAGTATATCGATAAGATTTGACCTAGACAAACTGTCCATATTTAGGTTTATCTTTCCATGCAAATATGAGAAATGCGGGTTGCTAGGTAGCGTAACAAAATGTGCACTATACTCATCATAAATCACGTTATATTCGGCAATTAATGTCGGTATAAAACATTAATCAAATGACTAATATATATCATTTATCAATATATCCGCCAACAATAATTATTACATATTGCACTTTCCGTGAATTCTATGAATTCTAGCACATTTGCAAGCAATAACTTTAGTTGTTTTGGTTAATGTAACAAAGCAAATTACAAGAAGACACACGCTTAATAACGAAGTTATGTAAACAAATACTGCTAATCATGAATTCACAATCATTTTAATGATTTGGATATGATTTTTTCAGAAATCATGCATATTTTATGCAACACAATTCATCAAACAATTTCACAATTTATCAAACCCCAAACGAATTGTACACGAATGTTGCTGGCATGTGTGAGATTCATTATCCGAAACAACATGTATTTATTTACATGTATACAACAGATAATAAAATGTTCTAGAACAAAATGTAGCATTCATGATATAAAAGCTCATCTTAAATCTAACAAAACCATATCAACTTTTTTTCCAGCAAAAATTCATAAGAATATCCAAATGATCCATATCTATGATTTTTATGAATATTTTAAATATTTATGGAAAATATGTCCATTTTAGGCCTATCAATTTTAAAATAAACTGTACAGCTATATAAATCGCATAACGCTAAGCACCTATGCCAGACAAAAGAGTTTTATGTATTTCATTAGTGTGACGAAACACTGTCAGTTCCTTGTAAACATAATCCTCTGGCTGTCCATATAAATTGTCCAGTTCATTCTTAGAATTAATCAGAAAGAAGGAAATTTATTTCTCTATTTTGTATGTTCTTATTACAGTCACTAATTACATTATCTGAGTGTCTCACAGCTGTACCTTTAACATTATTCACAGTTACAAAAGATCTGTAGAAGGAATAAGTAAAGCTATTGTTATCTTGAACAATTCTCTGTATGTTAAAAAGAAAATACTTATTTTTTGTGAAATGATATTAATCAGTGAGCAGACATTCTTGACTTTTCATACACCGATTTTTATGTAATGGCACGAAAGTGTTATAACGAAGGTTCTATGATATTAAAAACACATCTATGGATTTTCTTTAATTTAAATTTTCACAAATATTCATGTTTAAATGATGAATTCTGCTTAAGCCGGTACGTGAGGGGGGGGGGGCTTTCAAGTACCGTCTTTGTTCAGACTCAATCAAAATGAGTCTGCAACGTTTATTTATTTTTTTGTAGTTCTCAGGGTTCTTTTGGGAGGTTTCCGTTTCTCTATTTTACACACATTTATGTCGTCAATAATGGCATTACTTTTCTTATTAATATTAGATTACTTAGCAATCCTAGTGTTATTTTTAATTGAATATAAGCCTTTAGGAATTCATTTTCTCAAGTGCTTCTAAGAGCATATATGCTTTCGGCCTATTTCACCACGTTTAGATTTTATCTGTAATAAAGTAATGCACATTTATTGGTATGTATCATTATTTTGTATTAAAATGACTAAAACAACAATTCGTTTTAATTTACTATTCTTATTTGCATATTGATATTCATTATTCTTAAGTAAGACCCAAATTTCCTTAAAAGCGTTAATAATATAAATTGTTTTACTTTTATATTAATAAAAGAAGGGTCCTGTATAACATGTATTTAGTTAGCACAATGCGCCGGTTGTATTTTTCTCCTTCTTTGTTATAATATCGTTATATACATGTACATGCCACAATTAAGAACAATATCTTACATACTCTGACAAAAGGTCTATTTAAAATGTGTCAATATGAGGTTTCCATTTAACGTTCATCTATTATTGTATAGCATATACATCATTGAGTAGACAAATCATTATAGATTTTATGCTTGTCTTGTTTTGTTTGGTTTTACGGCGCATCAACACAATTTAGACAGGAAAGATGACTTAAGGTAAAGAGCAATTCCATAGGTGCAAAACCACCTCACCTGCTGGAGCTATAAAATACTTAGGTTCCTGCATTAAGGCGCTTCCTACGATCATGCAGGCATAAACGATGGCTTTAATTTTGTTGCCCACAAGGGGGAGATATTATTTATAGAAACACAATGTAACATATCCATGAAAGAAAGAGCTGTGTACTATGGGCCTATAAACATTCCTTTTATGTTACTTATACATATTTTATAATAACGCACACTTTTCAAATCTTAATATGCTCAATTCGTTTAATGCACTTTTGAACTTGTAATGCTCAAAGATTCAATCTATTGTCAGTGAATGTCAGTGAATTTTTTATTCTTATGGTAATAGGAAAAATATGCTCAAACTACACACACGTGACACCTGGCCCTGATCTATAATCGTTGAACATGTATTAGCAAGTTCTTTTTTCTCCAAGCAACCAGGAAGATTAATAATATAAAGCAACATGCACCTACCCAATCGAGCGAGCTTATCTCCATTTTGTCCAGAAAATAATTGTGTATATGATATAGATTCGCATGAGTCACTGAACACAGTTTCATTTCGTTCACCATCACAGAAAATCACATACCACACAGCCATATTTACACTTAAAGAATTTGTGTCAGCTATAAACCACCCAGGAATAATGAAACTTATCGTCTGAAACAAAACAGACATTACCGCCAAAAGAACGGAAAAAATTACACAGTTTTTAACAACTGTCATGGCATAGAATACGCACCCTTCACTATTCCAGATCAAAATTTTTAAACTTTTTTAGATTAATCCGACAATTCCAACATACTATATGATAGCAAAATACATTGTAATCATGGAACAGAAAATAACCTTAACAGCTTCTTAAACATTGAGAGCTATTTATTCCAGTATTACTATATCAACCAATGCTGAAAATCAATGCGATGTCTGCAGAATAGGCGCTCTATGAAATAACACAGTAAACGTCCGTTTTATTCCCTTGTCAACAATACTCCCTATCTTTATGAAAGCGAGACAAGCACTTCCATTAGTTGACAAAGAAGTGTTTTACGTTTGATTGTTAAATATACTATTAAAAGCCTGACAGAAAAGCTAATTTGTGTTAGCAATGAGATAGTTTTTTTGAGTAATTAGGCAGTTCTGAATCTTGATGCAATGTATAAAGATGTTGCCATGTCAACGGTGCAATAATCAAAGCTATGTGCTTTATCTGTAATATGTTATCTTTTTGCACGCCATTAATGAAAAGAGAAATATCTCACACCATAGATCAATGTATTTATCAAAGGCATTTAGACATTACAGAAGACTTATTTGTTGTTAAGAGTGGCCATATGCTTTACAAATTGTGCTATTATTTAAATCAACAACGCTTTTACTTTATAAAAGACTGTTTGAAATGTAATCAGCAAAATAAAGAATAATTAACATAAAATATCCCAAATGATTTTATCAGATTAAAGCAAAAAATAACCTGTTCCTTGGCGACATTACTTTCAATAGTTATACATACGACGACGATTTGATCATTCCATTATTCCATTATATCAACCATAACTTAGTATAGGTCATCTAGTTTTTTGACCTCTGAATTTTAAACTCAATTCTCAAAAATAGATATTGACAAATGTATTTATTTCATGCTTTCCAGTGTTTTATTGTAATATATCAGATGATTATATTCTGATAAACCACTAGTGAAATTTATAAAATATAATTTTCACTGTAGCCGGACTATATCTGAATGCGGATGAACAGAAAATCATAAATAAATGGAATAACAGGCAGAAATAAATGCCGCCATACGTATATTTTGCTTCTTTAGGAAAAGAAAGTCAATGTCATCATACATCATGTTAGAAATTTAACAAAATTAGTGAAATTTAACGGAACTAGATTTCAAAACTGTTGATGTGACGTCATGATATAATGACGTCACAAAGGAGAATGCACGACGTTACGCGGCAAAATCAGTAAAAAAATACTTAAAATCACTTAAAAAGCATAAAATAAAAAGAAAATTTATTTGTTTTACATATAAGATTGAATTATATTTCATTCGTGAACACCAGCTATTATATTTTCACTCGTGGCTACGCCACTCGTGAAAATATTGCAACTGGTGTTCACTCAATGAAATTATATTTCAATCTTACACGCAAAACAAACAAATATCCTCTATATGTATAACTAGTTAAAACAAATTATAAAATATATAACATGGAAGGGTTACAACAACCTATTAAGTCTTACATATTTATTTTATTTCAAATAATACAACATGTGAACTATACATGTACTAAAATAATTACAAAAAATAGTGAGTGAATTTTCATACCTTTAAGATTTTCAGATATTCCTGTAAATTTTAATTGTTTGATTTTTTAAATACTCTAAATCTACAAGTATATTTGCTTTTTCCTTTTTTCTCTGATTCCATAACTCGGTAAACAAAATATCAAAAGAACAAATGAATGATCAGATAAAAATAACTTGCTACAGGTGATTACATTTACCACACTTGTTACAAATGTATGTGCGTTTGTGTTAGAAAGCATTGATGTAAGAGTTTATCTAACATTGGGTGATCATGTACATATTTATCTAAATTTATTCCTCACTGGTGTATCATACAAAACATTATTTTGGATAAAACCTTTTAGTCTATCATCATGTTCCATACACTTTGAATATCAAAACAAATAAAGTTGTCTACATACATAGATTTAGAAATAATAACGACAGTGAAGTTACATAAAATAACAACTTTAATAACAATAAATGAGGTATAATTCTATAAAAATAAATTAGAAAAAGAAATAACCAATTTACAGAGAGTAATAATTGTTTTTGAAAGCCAATTTAAGAGTGCTTGTCGTAAAATGAAATAATTTTAAGATTTTTAGAGACGTATCGTCGCTTTTCAATTTAAATTTCCATAAATTGATAGCTTTTCTGTAAGTGGCTTGCTGAATGAAACACAAAAATTAAATAAAAACAATAAAAAAAGCAATAAAAAATACAGCCCTCAAACTTGTATTAATTTTTTTCATTTCTAATTAAAGTTATCGCTAAATTTCGATTGATGTTTATTCAAGAGGTTGTTAAGTTTTTTTGTGTAAGTAATATTTTCATTCAGAATATGCAGTTACACCAGAGAGCATACTTCGGGGTACATAGAGTACATTTAGGCAAGAGTGATTTTAACTTTTATTATATGAATCCCTTCAGGTAAAATGATGCTTTATTCTTAATCAGATATATTATGCTCTGCAGTTATTGAAATTACTATGCATGTCTCATATCATTTTTTTATTCGTGCAGATAACTGTAAAGAGCCTTATTTGCTGACTTAATTCGATTTTACATAATAAGTTTTCCTGATATAAGCATCTACTTTTGAGCTGCTTGGACAGACGGTGATCAGCATTTGCCACCGGTATAGAGCCTGGCAAGCCTGAACATCCATGCTTTCTGACCAGGCTCTACAGGTTCTACAAGGATAACTTACTTCGAATTTTCATCTCGATATCCACAAAATTGGTAATGGACAGTTCAAAAACTATAAGCGTGACAAAGCCATTTAAGAGACTCTGCTGGTTAAAACTGGTTATTATGTCATATAATTATCGTTTTCTTTAAAACTTGAAATAAAATGCGAAACGTATTTTTTTATAAAGAAAATGAGGAAATCAAGGAAAACTTAGAGCCAAGATTTTGTTTCTGAAAGGTTACAGGTGACAAATTCAATTGATATACGACACATTTTACACTACAACACTCCTTACCGACAACACGAAATCATTGACAACAAAAGTACAAGTTGTTGAATGAGATTTAACTGTCCAAATAAGATTAGGTACGAACTGGGCAATGATTGGCATATATGGAACAGACTCAATAAAAGCGAGTATGCAATTTTTATGTAATATTGTAGCTTTAATTGCTTCCGATGGATAACTCCTTTTCCAGACTAAAATATATCAAAAGAATAGTTAACTTTCGTCATATTACTAAACAAAACCGTAATCTAATGACATAATTAAAAAGCTGAAATAATCAAATAACAATATCAAAATAGTCGCCAGCAGGAACATTCAACATAGCGCAATTTGGAGAACTGCTTAACCTTAAATATTTGGAGAACTGCTTAACATTAAATATTTGGAGAACTGCTTAACATTAAATGGTGTTGACATGTGTATTTTGACCAATAAAATAAACATTTGGAATTATTTTCATTACATTTTAATATTGACAGAACTCTACAGGCAATGGTAGTTCATGAACTTGGCAATTTATCTTGGAAATGTTTTCAATAATATATATCATTGCTTTTCCATATTTCTCCAAAACTGTCAAGCAACATGTTATCACAACATTATGTTTGATGTTAACAAGTCATTCCTACAAGAAAGGAAGCGTTGGATGGGCAAACTATCTCATTACGATAGAACGTTTCCTCCAACAAATGTGTTCTGGATCCTGGAATTATGTGTTGTTTATGAAAATTTGCGTCTTTGCTATTCACTAATTTAGAAGATTGTAGACATAACATAGGAAGCAACTTTCAAATTTTGCAGTGATATGTAGACTAGTTAATTAAGTAAGAGGATAATGCGGACAGTGTCTTCCGACAAATTAATTACATATTCACAGATATAAGCCTATTAGGTATCATATGAACATTATATATGACATACAGACAGATAAACCTTTTGTACGACGTAAAATTGACCGTCAAAAAGGTAGCGATTGTATTGATATTGATATTCGTATGAAAGTTATTGTCATATAAGAAATTTTTTTATTTAAGTACTGTTTTTCAGGAAAATCTTTTACATTCTTATAACGACACATCGCATTTCAGTTAATCTTGAATCTGGAAAAAAAGGCTTTGCAAATTAACTTTCTCTCTAAAATTGAATCACGTCTACACAAAAACTCATTTTTATATTAAAAGACGTAGTGGTATTATTTCTTCTAAGATGCAGAATGATATGTTTATATAAAGAAAATATTTTCTTAAGCTAGGGATTAAAATATTTACGTTTATATCCTTTTATTTTTGCACGTTCGTACAACAAATGTTTTATATATTCATTACTTTGTATTTTATCAGATTTTCTAATCTGTTTGATTTAAAACAACGAATGATTCTTGGGTGGACTGCAGTGTTCTATTTCTGTCCTCTTTCAATAACAAATTCTTCAGCGTTATGTTTTCACAACTCTCAATTTTTGTCCTCAATAGTCTGTTCAATTATCAATTGCACTTGCTCCTTAAATTTCAAACAAAATGCTGCCACGGAGCAAATCAAATTATTGAAGTTAGGATCGAAATTGCCTAGCTTGTACTTCATATCTGGTTGGAGTCTAAAAAAACGAATACGAACAAGTAAATCTTTGCATAATAAATTGCCAGACTATTATTGTAACGGGGTTTCTTATATCTTTAGAAATAAATTACTTGTTATCTTATTTTCCCTATATTATAACCCTCCGCTTTATGTCCGACGTCCGGTTCATTTATTTTTTCCTACACCTATATACATAAGGCAAAATCATTTAGTGAGTAGCGATCCGATATTAATCAATACCTTAGTAATACAGTAAACTGCCCGCTTCGTATAGGTTTTTATATAGGCCGAAGAATGATTTCTCCGCAAAATAACCAGGAAAAGATTTCCTTTTGCCTCTTTGTTCTATTTGAATCGACCTGTGTGCCCGCTTAAAACATATTGCGATTATTGCTTCCTAACATTTTAGAATTAATCCTACGTTATACTTAATTGCAACACTTCTTTCTTTTTATTCAATTAATATGCATCGTGCAACCATGAAACCTTATATTTCAACGTAGAATAGCAACCCTACTTGTGAACGAATAAATGGTGGGAAAAGTATACATTGATTGCTTTTAAACTCTATATAGTTATTTGAAATACCACATGCACTGTACATGTACTCTTTATTTGAAAGGTATGATAAAGACTTTAAATTATTACCTATTTGCATTATCAACCAATAGCCTCAATGTAATTGTCCCGAATATA